CCCCCCCCCGGCAGAAAACTTTCTTGGAGACATAATGTGAGAGGTTTAGCGTTCCATATAGTTTTGTTTCCATTTTACTGACTCAATAGTGCCTCTACACTAGCTGTTTCAAAACTAAAATTATCCTGTAATGTAAACTTATGATCAACACTGCATATACAGTGCCATATTTTCCAATGAAATCATGGACCATTAAGTGCAGGTATTATTAATACTAATCCCTTAAAAAGATGTCCCCTGAAATACATGTAATATTATATAAAAGTGGGTGTAAAATAATGTGAAATAATAAAACAGCAAGGTCTCTTAAAATACAAATCAACCTCAGAATAAAAAAAAACATATTATCTTTATCTTACTCAAAAAAATGCTAAAAGAAGATCTGGACTTTTCCTTTGAACACAAATACAAATTTACACAGTGGGAAAATTTGTATAAGTCGTCATACTAGAATGGACAAAGGAACCAGAAGAAGACCCATCCTTAAACTTGCCAAAATTGTTACTGACATCAAACAGAATTAAGTCAGATTTACTGTAATTTATAGAATAAGCAGACATTAAATCAAGTTTATGAATCAATTAAATGAAATGGAAATATCTTGGTCTATTCTAAGAGACAGTGTGGATAAAAATTGATATTTTTTGTAAAAAAAANAGTGGTGGGTTTCAAAATTTTTTGGAACCTCTTCTCTAGGTGTCCTTGCTTTCCGGGTCCACTGGTGGAACCTCTTCTAACCGGTTCAGTAGATTTGACGAACCGGTTCTACCGAACTGGTAAGAACATACCACTGTTCCCACTCAGCCTCCTGGGAGTTGAACAGAGGTGGTATTCAGCAAGTCCTGACCAGTTCTGGAGAACCGGTAGCGAAAATTTTGAGTAGTTGGGAGAACCGGTAGATAACACCTCTGGCTGGCCCCGCCCCCATCAGTCCCAGCTGATTGGGAGGGAATGGGGATCTTCCCCTAGAGTGGGGAGGGAATGGAGATATTACAGTATCCTGACCCTGATACGCCTGCAGAACAGGTAGTAAAAAAAAAATTGAGTCCCACCATTGAAGTCCATAATGCTCCAAAGGGGCATTTTTCCAAAGGCAACTGAACTTTGTTTTTCCTTGAAGACCTTTCCCTTCTCATCCAAGAAGCTTCTTCTGTTCTGACTGAACTGAAGGACCATCAGAACAGAAGAAGCTTCTTGGCTGAGAAGGGAAATGTTTTCAAGGAAGTCCAGCTGCATTTTGTAAAACAAAAATATCTTTCGGGCAACCATGACCTGGATGACTTAGAATCTCTAGAGCAAACTTTTTTGGCACCAAGTGCCGAAATGGGAGCACGCAGGAGAGCACCAGAAACCAGAAGAGCAACTCACTGGCGTGTGCATGTTCCAGTTTCCGGTACGCATTCACACGGGAAGACCAACTGGCCAGCGTGCAAGCACCCACCCAAAACTGGAAGCTCAGCTTCCCCACACATGCATGCGCACTAGGGAGCTGTTCTTACAATTTCTGGTGCTCCCACCCATGCAAAGACCAGCTGGCATGCAGGAACCTGGAAGGGCGATGGCTGCCATGCCCGGAGAGATGGCTCTGCGTGCCACTTCAGGGCACGCGTGCCATAGGATCCCCATCACAGCTCTATAGACATAAAAGCCCACAATCTTAGAAACGGTTGAGTTTGGAAAACCCCTTGGAAACGCTTTGAAATGTGCGTTTGGTTTTCGTCCTTCTTCCCAATGCACAAAACAGAAAATGGACTATTCCTGACCACGCATAGTATGTATAGCTTATTTATTTCATACTTTTTGCCATCTCCACAAGAAGCTTTCAAGGACGCTTTAAAAAAAGAGGAAAACATTCATACATACACAGATCCCTGTATCCATGGTTGTTTCCATTTACCAGGGTTTGCAAGACAAATGCAGCTCGTGAAGAAAATAATAATTTGCGGAAAAAAATACATTCAGTCTAAGAAAGTTCAATCGAAGCTGAACACGCCCTTTTCAACAGTCTACGTAGGACAAAATAAAATCTACTTCAGCAGCGGAATTCAACTGACGTATACACAATTGAAAATATATTCCAAGAAAAACTGGCTTTTGCTGTAACTGCTGTAAACCCCCCCCCCCAATGTTTTATTTGTTTTATTTACGTACATTTCCATCAAACAGTGTGTGATCTGGGTACAGTTATCTGAACAGTCGTAATCCACATATTTTTGTCACAATCGTGTTAATAACATAAGTATACTTTAATATAATTGCAATCATACATAACATCTTCATCGTCAAATTCTCTCCACATTAATGTGTCTTTTTATATCTCCTCCTTTCTAACTTCTGTTTCTATTGTCTAACCATTTAATGCTATAACTTTGTAAACAAGTGGGAAAGAATCCCTTGACTGTTTCAGTTGTCATCTGGATGGATGGATGGATGGATGGATGGATGGATGGATGGATGATAAGGCTTAATAAAGTCTTAATAAAATACAGACATTGCCCCACTGTACTGTTGGAGTTGAAGTAAAATATCTATCTTGTTCCGATTGCTGCAAGCTTGATTTTTAAAAATTACTAGATATATCATTCCAGTAAGAATGCCCCAAGGTAGAATACAGGTAGCCTTTGAATTACCACCACAGTAGGGAGACGTTGTGTGAGTTTTGCCCCATTTTACGACCTTTCTTGCCACCGTTGTTAATTGAATCAGTGCAGCTGTTAAATGAATCTGGTTTGCTTGTCAGAAGGTCACAAAAGGGGGATCATGTGACCCCGGGATGTTGCAACCATCATAAATACCTGCCAGTTGCCTACTGTGTTTCCCCGAAAATATGACAGGGTCTTATTTTCTTTTTACTTACAAAATATGGCCTTGGGCTTATTATAGGGAATGGCTTATTGTTTTGGGGTTGCTCCCTTGCGAACTGGCTCCTGAAGAGCCGGGCACAGCCTCAGGGGTAAAGCAGCCATTCCCCCCAAACCCCCTCTCCAGCCGGGCAGAGTGCCATTCACTGACCTAGGGGGTATCCCTAAGGCGCCAAGCCATGTGGCGCTCTGCCCGCTCCCCAGCTCCCGCGGGTTGGCACATTCGGGATACCCTCTAGGTCAGTGCATGGAGCTTTGCCCGGCTGGAGAAAGGGGTTGCGCGAGCGCCTGTTCCGCCCCCAGCAGGCATGCCTCCTAGCCTCAACATGTCCGGGCCCAGCTGTCCCTGCAGCAGCCACCGCCGCGCTCCGAGCATAACGTCTTCTCTGGTCCCAAACTCCCAAACTCGGCTGCTGAGTCTTCCAGCAGTGGCCGCTCTAGGAGTGCGCTCTAAGGTTGTGGGCTGGCTGCTGGAAGACTCTCTGTCCGGAAGACTCTCTTAACAGAGTCTTCCATCCACCAGTCCACAACCATAGAGTGCACTCCTAGAGCGGCCACTGCTGGAAGACTCGGCAGCCAAGTTTGGGAGTTTGGAACCGGAGAAGACGTTATGCTCGGAGCGCGGCGGCGGCTGTGGCTGCTGCAGGGAGAGCTGGGCAACTCCCCCCTCCGGCCAGGCAGAACGCCACTCCCCAACCTAGCGGTATCCTGAAGGCGGCAAGCAATGTGAGCGCCTTTCCCCCCCCGCCCCTGTGGCTTGGTGCCTTCAGGATACCGCTATGTCGGTGAGTGGTGCTCTGCCTGGCCGGAGGTGGGGGTGTGTGTGTGTGAGGTTGTCCAGGAGGGTTTATTTTTGTGGGTGGGCTTATATTTTTGCCCGCTTGAAAAATGTGGCAAGGCTTTAGTTTCAGGACAGGTTGTATTTTCGGGGAAACACGGTAGTGCCCCAATGTTGAACACTTGGTCATAGAGATGTGATGGTTGTAAGTCAGGGGTGGGTTTCAAATTTTTTTTACTACCGGTTTGGTGGGCGTAGCTAGATGGGGGGACGTGACTGAGTGGGTGTGGACAACTGGATGTCACTCATGCACACTCAGTCCCATGGCCCCCTCACCAAGCCATGCCCACCGAAACGGTGGTGAAAACGTTTGACGGAGTACCTGCAAACTACCCAGTATGAAAAAAAGGTTTTTGTCCTCCCCAGCCCCCAGGAACACTCTGCAGGCTTCAGTGTGGCTGGGAGAAGGGAAAAACACCCCTGTCTTTGCGAAAAATGGGCCTTTTTTCGCCCGTTTTTTGGCAGAAATGGCATTTTCCCCTTCCTGAAGCCTGCAGAGAGCTTCTGGAGGCTGAGAGAAGGGAAAAATTCTGCCACTCACCCCTCGCTCAACCTGCTGTTCAACCTCCCACCTTCACCCAAAGCCTCGTGCCGCACCAGGAGGCTGAAGTTGGAATTTCTTTTCCCCCCTGTTGCGTACCTTGGCAACAGGACTGTTTCTCTCTGCCTCCTTTTCCAGCCAAAAGCATGCGGGCAACAGCAGTGGCGACGAGGGAACCGGTTCAGGGGGCGTGGCCAGGCTGCCATTGCTACCGGTTCGGAAAGCTACGGCAGATTTGTACTACCTATTCGGCCAAACCGGACCGAATAGCTAGGAACCCACCTCTGTTGTAAGTGTGAAAAAACGGTCATAAGTCCCATTTTTCCCAGTGCTGTTGTGGTTTTGAACAGTCACCAAGTGAACTGTTGTACGTTGAGGACTACCTACCCTCTTTTCCTAGCAAGAGTTTTCTCATCTTTCTCAGATCCGTTAGAAGAATTGTGCGTCAATACAGTCATAGAGATATATACAATACAGTCATAAGGGATGCGATGGCTCAGTAGGCTAAGACGCAGAGTTTGTCGAACAGAAAGGTCGGCAGTTTGGCAGTTCGAATCCCTAGTGCTGCGTAACGGAGTGAGCTCCCGTTACTTGTCCCAGCTTCTGCCAACCTACCAGTTTGAAAGCATGTAAATAATGCAAGTGGAAAATAGAGACCACCTTTGGTGGGAAGGAAACAGTGTTCCATGTGCCTTTGGCGTTTAGTCATGCTGGCCACATGACCACAGAGACGTCTTCGGACAGCGCTGGCTCTTCGGCTTTGCAATGGAGATGAGCACTGTTCTCCAGAGTCATGAACGACTAGCATATATATGTGCGAGGGGAACCTGTACCTTAGTCATAGAATATGCCGGTCCAGCTTTTGAGATTCAGTTCCGTTCCTACAGAGGCACCGAGTCCTGCAAGAAATCGGCCGGTGAAAAGGAAGGGTTTCGTCAAAAGCCAAGACCGAAGAGCAGGATGAAAGGGAAGGAAGGCATGACATCAGCCAGGAAAGTTGAGAACAAGGAACCTCTTCAGAACGTGTGCAATTGAGGTTGCCCAAGGAAGACCGGCTTGGAACAGGACGACCTTTGCATTTCAGGCCGTGGCTGACCACCGGTCATCGAGAGGGCAATGGACCGAGCAAGTCCCCCCATCGGGCACCAGCCATTCAAAGGTCTCTGTACGTTGCAGAAGACCCATTTTCTAACCTTGCTGGTAAGGTTGGCCACGGCCATCACTGACCACCAGAGCACTCAATACGCTGGAGTTGCTGGAGAGAGGCTCTTTCCTGGCAGTCCGTTTCTCAATCGGCGGGCTGCGGAAGCTCTCGCGCACCTTCAAGGAACTCCCCACCTCCGTGGACGAGCTGCGGAGGTGGTCGCTGGGGGCAAGGCAGCCGCGGGGGCCTTGCCACCCGGCCGAGATGCAGCAGCAGCAGAGGAGCTCCCCCACAGCCCTCCTCACCTCTTTGCTTTTCAAAGAGTAGATGATGGGGTTGATGAAGGAGTTGAGGACGGCCAAGGTCACGAACCAGCCAAAGACCTTCTGAAGCCTCAGCGCTTTGCTCCCGTTGAAGATGTCGATCAGCAGCAGCAGGAAGAGAGGGATCCAGCAGACCAGGAAGGTTAAGAGGATGATGAGCACTGTCTTCAGCAGCCGCAGGGACCTCTTTGGGCCGCCGCTGGAGAAGCCCAGTTTGACCCTTCGGCCGACCCAGCAGTAGATGGAGCAATAGAGGCTCACCACGCCCACCAGGATGATGCTGAACAGGACGACGATAAAAAGGATGTAATTCTTGGCGTAAAGCGGCAGCAAGGTGGAGCAGTGCGGCACGTCACAAATGCAGTTCCAGCCGAGCAACGGAAGCAGGCCAATCACGAAGGCCAGGAACCAGGAGAAGAAGATGCAGTTCCGGAGGCGGTTGGTCTTGACGGACTCGCTTTCTGCGATGGGCCTCACCATCACGCTGAAGCGCTCGATGGCCGTCACCAGCAGGCTGAAGGTAGAGGCCGCCAAGGCGATGAAAAGGATCCCTTCGCGGAGAAACCACATGTAGGGATACAGCTGGAAGGTCTTCCGGCCCGACAAGCAGAGGTTGATCAAGTAAGCGATGCCGGCCAGGAGGTCGCTGGAGGAGATGCTGGCCAGGCAGGTGAAGATCCAACGCCGGCTTCTCACCTTCAGGACGATGGCCAGCAGGACCACCAGGTTCTCCAAAATGATGAGGCAGCTGGCGGCAATGATGATGATCTTGAGGACGTCGAGGCGGTCTTCCTCGGGACGCCGGTGGCTCAGCCGTCCGGTGAGGTTGTAATGGTAGAGAATGATGTTGAAGTCCTCGGTGGCGGTCAGGAGGGAACAGGACTGCTTGCCACGGACGGAGTCAAGAGGGGGCTTGAAGGCAGAAGTAGGGGAGGAAGAAGGAAGGGAGGAGGAGAAGGAAGAAGAGGAGGAGAAGGAGGAAGTGGAGGAGGAGGAGGGGAAGGAGGACAGCTGGCTTCGGTCCGTCATGTTGTGGAGAAAAGAAACCTTCCTTCAAACCAGGAATCGCAACGGGCAACGCAGGTGGGTTTGTGGTTGGAAAGACGCGGCGAGGACACCAGCTGTGTTCTCCGTCTTTACCAGAGGAGGAAAACGAGAGCACCTTTCAGGACAGCAGCCGCACGCAGGTTGCAAAACCCAGGTGTCCGAATCCGGCTTCCGAGAAGCTGAACTGGATCGGAAGGTGCAAAGACCAGTCGAGCATCTCCGGCGAGGAACCGGTGTGCCAACAATAGCAGCCGCTGCCTTCAAATTCTTCACCCCGGGTTGCAGGAGGATTCCTGATAGAGGCGCCCACGGACCGCAGATAGGAAGCCTGGTTTGAAACTGAGAAAAGGGAAAAAAAAAGGGGAAAGGAGGTGAAAAGTGTTGCAATGGAATTTGGCAATATTTCCTGCCTTTTCTACCGCCGTCAGCAGCACGCTGTTTTCTAATTTCGGGTTTGGCATCGTTTCAGCCCACCATGCAATCCATTTACCGGCTTTTTTCCCCTCCCCCTTGTTTCGCCGGCACGCGACCCCGGTTTAATATTGAACAGCCTTGAGAAATATATGCGGGTGGATTTCCTAACCAGTACGGTGCAATCCATTTACCGCTCGGCTCTCTTTGATCAGTACATGACCTCAGCGATCAAACGTGACTTGAAAAAACTACTGCAACAGGCCTTTTTGTAGTGGGGGGGGGCTTTTGCTCCGCGCACATGTGCATTTGCATTTTAAAAGGTCTGCGCATACGCATAACATTTAAAAGGGGGGGGAATTGCATTTTTCCAATGAAGATTGTTTGGCGCATGTGCATAACTGAAAATAAAGATGGTAACACCGAGGATTGAACCGGTACGGTCACAGGTCCGGCTGCGTTACTACCTATTCGGCCGAAATGGATCATGCCGGGAGAAAGCCACCTCTGGCCCAACACCTTAATCTGGCAGGAATGCCATCATCATTACAGGTGGTCCTCGACTTACAACAGTTCATTTAGTGATCGTTCAAAGTTATCACAGCACTGAAAAAAGGGACTTAGGGCCGTGTTTCACACTTAACGACCATTGTAGCATCCCCATGATCAAAATCCAGACACTTGGCAACTGACTCCTATCTATGACGTGTCCCGGGGTCACGTGATCCCCTTTGGCGACCTTTTGACAAGCGGGGAATCACGATTCCTTTAACAGCCATGTGATTAACTTAACACAGGCAGCGATTCGCTTAACAACGGTGCCAAGAAAAGTCGCAAAATGGGATAAAGTTCCACTTCATGGATGTTCCACTTAGCAGGGTAAGTTTTTGGGCTCAATTACAGTCGTAAAGCCAAGGACTACCTGTACTTCAGACCCACACAAGTGGCCAGGGCAGTGTTTCTCAACCTTGGCAACTTGAAGATGTCTGGACTTCAACTCCCAGAATTCCCCAGCCANGATTGATAATGTATTAAGTAGGCTAATTGTCAATGGTTGAGACTAGCTGTATATAATGTGAATGTATGGTCACTTCGACTTCGTGGTACTGCATTATTTTAAATGTAAAAATAATAAATATATATGGGGAAAAAATGTGGGCGCTTGGCAACTGGCATGTATTTATGGTGGTTGCAGTGTTCTGAGGTCACAGGATCACCAGTGGTCACCTTCTCAGCCCACTTCCTACAAGTAAAGGAAGGGGAGCCAGGGTCATTTCATGACTGCATGATTCACTTACCGTATTTTTCGGAGTATAAGACACACTGGAGTATAAGACGCACCAAAATTTTGAAGAGGCAAATTTAAAAAAAAAGTTTTGCACTCTGCAGACCTCTCAAAAACGCCCCCCCCCCTTTTTTAAAGGGCATTAATAGCCTTTAGGAGGCTTGTAGAGTGCTCCTGGAGAGTGCCCCCCCTCCAAAATGAGCAAAAATGGCCCATTTTTGTCAAAAACAAAAGGCCATGCATAGCCTTTACGAGGCTTATAGAGTGCTCCTGGGGGCTGGAGGGTTGGTGGGGGGCAAAATTGAGCAAAAAACAGCCCATTTTTTGCTCATTTCTGCCCTTCCCAGGCCCCAGGAGCACTCCAAAAGCCTCCTAAACACTATGCCTGGGTGGATTTCAGCTCCCAGAGCTCCCGAGCAAGCATGCTTTAAGATGGGTGGACTTCAGTTCCCAGAATTCCCCTGCCAGCATAATCTAGGATAGCCCAGCATCAGAAGTCTGATAGTTTCTTTTGCGACTCACAAATTTTATTCAAAGGCAGAAAGTTTGTAAAATGCAGCTCACTGCATCAGATATATGCAGCGGCTTGTATATATAGTTTGTAAATAGTGCAAGCACCATAGTTTTGGACCCTATATATCCTTTGTGTGATTAACCTATAAAATCCTATAACAGGATAAGAGTTACAACATCATGAGTAAGCATTGATCAACAGCTGCTCCGGATGCAAATTAGTCTCAAGTCCTCTTTTGTAAATGGAGGAGTGACATAAGATCCAAAAAAATGACATTTCCTCTTGTTTAAGAAAGGTGGTTCCCGTGGAATGTCTCAAACCTTGAGGGACATCCTTGTACAGCACAAAATGTTCTAATTTGTCCGTTCTCTGTCATGCTATGCAATTTATACTTTCCGTCCATTGATTGCTAAAATTACTTGATGTTTCTTAACCTCCGCAACCTTATGGTGTGTAGACTTCAATTCCCAGAATGTCCCACCCAGTGGTGGGTTTCAAAAATTTTTCGAAACTACTCTGTGGGTGTGGCCTCCTTTGTGGGAGTGGCTTGCCGGCCATGTGTTCTCTCCGCCCCCTCTCTCTCTCCTTCCTTTTGTCTCTCTGTCCCTTTTTCCTTTTTCCTTTCATCTCTCTCACTTTTTCTTTCCTTTTTTCTTTTTTTCTTTTTTTCTTTCTTTCTTCCTTTCTTTCTCTTTCTCTCTCTCTTTCTCTCTCTCTCTCTCTCTCTCTCTCTCTCTCTCTCTCTCTCTCTCTCTCTCTCTCTCTCTCTCTCTCTCTC